TCTACCGACTTGATCCACTCTCTCCATCTTCGTTATAGTCTCCAGGACTTTTGAAGATTATCACTTATGAGGATGAGGTTAATACTCAATAACGTAACCATACAGTTTATGAAAACCGTTTACACGTCGTTCACACAATCGGTTACGTTTAATGTATAATATTATATAGCACTAGCTATAGCCTTCGTTGTTCAACATTTTTACGGTGCGTTTACGTAATGTACTATGTAGAGCAATGGTCCAATTGACGATAGCCATCAATCAGTCGCCTGCAAAACTGAAAACACGGTTTATAATCAACATAATACTGCAGCCTGCAGGTATAAAACAGTAACAGAAACGCTTACTAGCTACTGAACAAGAATTAAAACTCCATTCACGATACCTTTACGTCAAGTAGTGTGGAAAGGTTGTCGGTTTGCTGTTCAATGAATATAACACACAGGCGACATCATCAGACATTCGCTGCCATCGGTTGTGTTGACGTCAATGCAGTCGCGAAGGCGTGAGGTGATTAATGTCGACCAATCATGATCGTCGGCTGTGGCTCGATGTTGAAGAAAAGGAGACTGCAGATGACGTGACCACAACATCCCATATAGACTGGTAACTGAGCTCCTTACATGGTTAATAGACCAACAGATGCTGGGTAGAGTTGAAGGCAAGACACCGAGACCCCATCTACAAAAAGTCAGAAGGCCCATCTATTCATCTCATTGGCTGGCTGCGCAGGTCACGGATTAGCCCATATGATTGGTATTTCCTTTTCCGGAACAGTAAAGTCAAACATGGCGGAAGTTTCCAGTGGTAGTGGAAATGTTTTCCATAAAAGTCGTGCTTCTAGCACAAAACAAATGACTGTTTTGTATGATGCGGAAGGGAATGAAATCCAGGTATAATGACATCGAGTACAGTATAGCCTACAATCCACACAGGCTAAAACAACAAACAGGGACGGGCTCCGGCTATTTTAATCACTGACACTGCTGCCGCGGGATGATCAAGTCTGCCCACTCCTCCCACGCTCACGCTACAGCACAGCGTGGATCACAGGCACTTGAAGCGTTTCAATAATATATAATGCTAACTAAATACGAAATCTATTTACTATATATATATATATATTACGAAAGCAATGGTGGCTGGCAGCGTAGGATTTTGGTAGGATTGCACGTAGGATTTGGACGGAATTTACAGGAAACTGTCGAGTGTCGGCAATAATACTAATACTAATAGGTGAAAGAGAGTATAGAAACATTAAGAAGTTGGTATTAAATAGATTTCGTATTTAGTTAGCATTATATTTTATTGAAACGCTTCAAGTGCCTGTGGCGTGGATAGGGGTGGGTGTGCAGACTTCATCCCGCTTGCAGTAAATGTACATTGTAAGTGCAGCCCGAATATCGGGGTAGTATGGGCGGATGTTCGATGCTGCGATTTCTATGGTAATTTTGTGACATTACTTTATACTTAGTGACAATATTATTATAAATTATAATTGACAATAACATAGACAATAGACAATAACATAGACAATAACATAGACAATAGACAATAACATAGACAATAGACAATAACATAGACAATAGACAATAGACAATAATATACAATGACAATTATAGTGGTGGTATAATTATTAGCCTATGAGCGATACCGCACGTGCATATTTGCTAATTAATTATTCTAATTGCTCTTCAATAAACTCAATATTCACAGAGATCATAGCGAAGACATGTGTCTACATGTATCTATATTTCTAGATATGTAACTCAACTCGTTCGCGAGATGTAAGAGTTAATACACTTTCCTACCGCCCATAGCGTAATAGCGTATGCGTGGGGGGGGGGGTTAACAGCTGTATACAATGCGCCAGTACACAGTACAGTAGGGCGCGGTAGGGGGTTCGGAGTCGGGTGCGGCCATATTGGCCGGTGGGAAAGTGTATGTGCGCCATGACATGTATTATTGTAATTTGTATACTCGTACAGCAACTGCTAGTGCAACAATAATTTTGTTACCACATCATGTTTGTAACACCCGCGTAAGCAATTATGGGGCTATAAAATATTCCGACTAGGATGCGAGACTGATGGAAGAGTCGGTGTATCGATGATCTGTTAGTAAAGTCACTGTCTGACCATGTCTGGCGTTCGAAGCTATAACTACATAATAAGAAGAGGTATCAATACAAAGTCAAGTGTGAGGGCAAGTTGCATGTACAATGCTAGTTCTGATGTCAGGTTTATTGGGTTTCGCGTAATGAATCGTAGGTAAATTAAGGCATGGAAATGCTGAATTTCTTGTGTTTCGAGCGAGTCATACTCCTCTGTTATTATACACTCCTGATAATATGCAAGCTTCATTTTAGTCATGAACTGCCTTGTTTGCATCAGTGGTACTCTATGTGACTTCCTAAAAATTGTGATCGCGCGCAAACATGCACCAATAGTGTGTGCATGTTGAACTGCGATATTAACCGGCTGTTTTTTCCTCGTGCAGCAATGCTAAAAATAACTCATTTGCACCTGAGGACAGGTACTGTTTGGATGAGCAATAAGTGTTTGTGTGATGCTAGTGGTGGTAGCTCAGGTCATTGGTATGCAGTGGACTATGGCGGTGCATTTTCTACCCAATCCCTGCATATATATGTCTTAGACTTGATCTTGTGTCTACCTTTGTTTAGTAAACAGATTTGTTAGTGTTGCTAATACTTGCTATGTGATTAGCCAATATGACATGTCCTCCATTTACAGTTGAGTAGAATTTCCAAAATATAAATGCAAAAGTTACAGATTATTCAGTTAAAACCTATATTTTAATACCATTTTTAATTTTGGTAGTTTAAAGGCTCACAATGCGCATCCAAACGCTAATTTCTCCAGTACTAGACTAGCAAATACTTCGTGGCTTGCATAATCACACTACCTTATGACAAAATAAACTCTAGTTCCTCCCATTTCACTGCGCGTTGTCTTATAAAAGGTATTTGAAAATACCTCCAATGTTGTTCAAATTCTCCGATGTTGTTGACAGTTTCCCCAATCCCCAAGCAACCGTGCAGCGGTGCTGCGGTACAGTGGTACAGGTGTAGCAAAGATAAAAACATGTGATGTCACGTCACCACTTCGAGGAGCCCCTATATTGTTTGGCAAACAGTCGGCGTTTGCGCCAGAATGGCAGTTTTCTCACCTCTTTCTTGTGTGTTTTAAGCAAACGCGCAGTGAAATGGGAGCAACTAGAGTTTATTTTGTCATAAGGTAGTGTGATTATGCATGACACGAAGTATTTGCTAGTCTAGTACTGGAGAAATTAGCGTTTGAATGCGCATGTGCGGCTTTAATGTATAGTACTCCATTACACATGAGTTGATTTCCTGAAATTGATTATTGATTCTGATGTCTTTTGTGCGGTCCAACGAGTTATAATAGTACTACTATTGCACTATTACTGTTATAAGCTGTTGTTCCTGTTAGTATTATGAGAACATTGCAACACGTGCTATTTGCATGCAGGCGTGTGTAGTCTATAAAAAAAATTAAGTGTAATCCATAATTATTTGTAATTCCCAATGCAGCCGGAGAGTAGAGAAGATGAAGAACAAAGTGTTAAGCTGCAGGAGACGATAGAACTGTTGCTAGCTGCAGGCTACTTTCGTGCACGAATAAAGGGCTTGTCGCCATTTGACAAGGTAGGTTTTATTTTTGCCCAGTTTTTTTACACCGTCACCTTATTGTCCTTATATACTAATATTACAGTGACATATTGAACTAACATGTAGATTTTCTAGTGACTGAATCAACTGTATGTGTGTCAGTGAAAAAAATACACGGGGGCTCGGGGCGATTTAGCCCCCGAAATGCCAAAAAGAGCCCCCGTAAATTTGCATAGAGTTCAATGCAACCATGCACGCGAGCTTGAAAAGTAGCCCCCGAAAAATAAATTATATTTTTTTCCCTGATGTGTGATTTTTTCCCTACAGTATAGATTCAGAACTTTACTATATAGAATGAGAGCACTATATTTTTTCAAATTGTGATAATATATTGATAATGAATCAGAACCTTAAAGTGTGTATTGCGAGGTTTTTGCTCAGAAAAACTAAATATAGCTGAATATAGTCTCACCTGACAGCGAAAATATCACTGATTACACCTACATTAAAAATACAAAGATTTTATGCAGTTATAGCATAGAAAATTGGATATGAACACATCGTAACAGCAATGCATTTTATTGTGTTGCGATAATGCCTAATGGCAGAATAGGTAAACTTGTATTTGTGTTGGTGATTAATTGAAAACAAGTGCATGATTTTAGATAGTCTGTACTTTGTCTATCGCAGATAAGCGGTGGCGCCACTAGCTAATCCATACTTTCGGCTAGTTTCAAGATGACAACAAATGATTGTTTACCAAACTAGTAGTTCGAAACTGGCACTTTTTTTGGTGAATACGCTTTTCACTGGCTTCGGGGAAGTACGTGGCGCCACCTATTGGGCCCATTATCGCGCATGTTACAATAATCTCCCAGGTGTATTGTCTTTCTTGGGCAGGTTGTCGGAGGCATGACTTGGTGTATCACCACCTGCAATTTCGATGTAGATGTTGACCTGCTCTTTCAGGAAAACTCAACAATTGGACAGAAAATGTGAGCTAAATAAAGCATAGGAATTCTATTTAAATAATACTAGTGATAGTAATAATAATAATAATAATAATAATAATTATATGTGACCCGCTCCAGCATAATACGGACTAAGTCGCAAGTCATTGTTTTGAGTAATGAGCACGCACACATGTCAATGCTGAAAATGGCCTACCTGGACAAAAATGAGATTTTTACAAAAAAAAGTTCCTAAGTGCATATTTAATCCGGATATATAGGTTCAGATATCTCTAGATTATTATGGTCATTTTTAATTTAAAAAAAGAAGAAAATTTTGAAGGGCCCCTGACCGCTCATCCCCGACTGGGCCCCCTACCCGGAACGCTTTATCTCAAAAGCTGCATATTCTGGAATAAGTCGGTTTCCGATCTTCAAATTGCTGTAGATCGGTCAATTCTTTAGATATAGCCAAATATTATTTATCATTTTAAAGGTAATTAAATGATCTATTCAGATATGCACATAACTCAATTTGAATTTCCTACTTGATTCTGGTTTTGCTGGAGCGGATCACATATTAATAATAATGTAACGACTTTGTTGCCTCGCCTTCCTGGTTGCTATCCATAGCAACTTTTGTTTACTTTCTTTCTTTTTGCATGGGGTCGGGCTATACATATTAAATTACCTAGGCAACGTTTTATATATATTGAATACAGGATTCTCTGCGAGCTTTTAATGGTGTCGCGTCGAAAATTCCTTCTTAGCTGAAGCTAATTTGAATCATCCCATAAACCGTCTGACATGCCTTAATTGCCTAATTGCCAAGCCTTAATTGCCTAATCGACATGCCTTAATTGCCTAATCGACATGCCTTAATTGCCTAATCGACATGCCTTAATTGCCTAATCGACATGCCTGAATTTCTTAATCGACATGCCTTAATTGCCTAATCGACATGCCTTAATTTCCAGCTGCGTTCACTTTTGAGTTTTGACAATCCAAACACAGTCAATGTTGTGTTTTCATAGCTTGATGTGTAGATCTCTGAAATGATCGAGTTTACCTGTGGATTGGAGTTGCTAACGACACGCATAATTACCTCCAATTAGTAGTCGGGGTGAATTGCTTGAATGCCCGACATGCTTTCTGAAATTTTTTGGGAAAATCATGGAATACATCTTATTGTAGATTTTATAGATATGTTCGTGGTGATAGTGTAAATGGTAATTTGGTAAAATTGGCAGCTGTAATATCATTCCTGACAACCGAATAAATAGGATTTTACTTTTGAGAAGATTGGGTTTCCTCGAGTAGTCACCTCTGACTTTATATGCGTAAAGTCAGGAACGTGTCGTATATCCCAACGCTTTGACACCGTCTTCATATTTTTCCGCAGAGCTCTTACAGAGAAAATAGTGTCCGTGCTACCCAGGATGAAGTGTCCGCACCCTATAGAACCTCACCAGATTCAAGGATTGGACTTCATTCACATTTTCCCAGTAGTTCAGGTATGTGATGCTTGACATGAAACGTCGACATAACAAAATGCTGCATATCTGTGTTCATTTCACATTTCTTTGTGGCAGTAAAAGTATTTGTGGATGTGCGATTTTAGAATCATGCACACGATATTGAAGAAAATTCAGTTCAAAGCCATTTTCCGTGTTAGATTTTGACCTGTATATAGTTTACATTGATAGTAGTTAACAACTAAATAACATGGCACATGTATGTTTATTTTGCTGTGATTAGTGGCTTGTGAAGCGGGCAATTGAGACGAGAGAGGAAATGGGAGACTACATTCGGTCATACTCAATCTCACAGTTCAACAAAAGTCACAAGGCTCCGGAAGATGTGGAATTTGAGCAGAGCAAAGAGAAATCGATCAGAACAATTACCACTGCCAAGGTAGATACATTTACTGCATTGGACATAATGATATTGTCTTTTTTAATTCGTTCGTGTTACGACTGCGTTAGGAATACAGTCACATTTTTATATTCCTAGGCAGAAATCTCTGTTAGTAGCAGTGTCGTAGAAACATGCACCACTCGACAGTTTTCACCCTGTTCAGTACATACAGCAGGTATAAGCAGGGATGAGAATTTTCCTTGGATCCGAGAAATTTCTTGGGTTTGACAGTCCATGGGTTCGATTTTGTGAAATGTCTAAATTCTATGAGAAAAGTTTAAGGGGGGGGGGGTAAGGTTAAGAATGTAAAAACTGTATTTCAACTCTGCTGCAATAGCTGCATAAACTGCAAAAACTGCTGCAATAGATAGTGATGGACTTAGCTGTGATGGACACTACCAGAAGTAGATAATAGGGAAGGAGTGTGACTTCAATAAACAAGGGAAATTCGTCATTTACTAGCCTTAGAATACCTACGATTTACTATGCGTAACTCAACCAACTTGAGATCAAATCGTACACAGTACATTCGCCTGGCATCGTGCGAAATCGTTTCCTCGTATACACCTGCAATCCGGAGATACAGACTAAAACGTACGACACGATTTTCCATTATGTTGCTAGCAAACTGAATGTGTAAACCGCCTAACTCGAAACAAAGGCCAGCTACTAACGACTCTTGCGCCCTCGGCGATGCGGTGTGGCTCGCTGAGCTAATCTTTGACCTATTTACAGCTGCTTTTTGTTTCGAGTTAGGCGGTTTACACATTCAGTTTGCTGGCAACATAATGGAAGGCTATATAATAGAATATTCTAAGGCTAGTAAATGACGAATTTCCTTTGTTTATTGAAGTCACACTCCTTCCCTATTATCTACTTCTGACACTATGTATAACTACTGAGTTTAGTTGATAAATCGGTTTTGTAAACTTATAATTTTACGAATTGACAATATGTGCAGAAATCGCACTAAGATGAACAGTTTTAGAACATTATTGCAAGGTTATGTTTAATGACCATTGATCATGTGGAATTAAAGAGAATGCAGGAAATCCAGTAAGTCTACATTTACAAATTGTGAGTACATGTATGTGTTACATCATGTACACATAATGTGAGAACGTGTGTGTAATATACCAATATTAAACACAAATTTGTTTGTATTTATCAGCAAGTAAAACACAATGCATTAGTTGTCATCCCTGTATAAGTAACAATGGCTAACACAGCAGATATTTTTCAGGAGGCGTATGCACCACAACGTCGATACCAACGACACGATCAGAGTCCTTTAGAGGATGAAGAATCCAGGGTACGATCCACACTGCTGGAGTATGGCCAGAAACTGGGACTTCCTAGACAAAGAGCAAAGGTAATGGTACTGTTAGTGTAGTGGGATCTTAGGAGTGGCCGCTGTGAATGTTTAGAACGTAACACGAGGAGAGACAGAATGAAGTTTGAAGTTTTTCGTAGAAAATGAATGAAGAACTTTTAACGTTAACATTAGTTTACGAACATTAAACGTTTAAACGTTTAGTATAAACAATGTAGAATAAACAATAACAACAATAAACAAACTATAAAGAATGTAGAGAAGAGTAAATGTCTCTCTCTCTCTCTCTCTCTCTCTCTCTCTCTCTCTGTCTCTCTTGTAACACGTTAACACATGTACTGTAGTGTCGGGATCATTTCCCGCTCCTACCCTTAGGTTGGACGCCTGTGCAGTAGCTGGTAGTTGAACACCAGACTGAAATACAATACAATACCACGGATTTATGTTATGTTATATGGGATAAGTTTTTATTGCTCACCACTTAGACATAATACATGATACGTTATATTGGCTATAGTTCATGGTATACTGGTATATGTGCGAATATCACCACATATCTGATTACTACTGCCTTGACATTGGCATAGCCGATTATATTGACTGTTACAATCGACCATTACAAGCCCTTACTGCTAATAGAATTTCCATAATTACTAGATGGATCACTCCCTTCCTCCTCGTTCTGACCCTGGCTGCTTCCAGTGTGGATTCCGGCAACCTCCCCTCCCCCCGTGCCAGGCAGTACACGCGTGGTAAATTCCCTTCCCTTCTCTCGCACCTCCCATGCCATGGGTGTATTGGTTTGGACCGGCGTGGTGCAATCCCTGCTTTATGACGTGTCCTTGTAAGATTAGCCCCCCCCCAAATCTCCACATTAGGGACAACATGAGTTTTGTGGAACCTGTTAAATAATTATCTTGTGCCTATTATCTCGTTTCATAGGCCTTTGTGGATTAGTATTCAGAGCAGGTCTTGTGGCGTCTGTTTATTTGGTGAACAATAATGGGTTCGCATGAAAAGAGTTCAATTAAAAACACACAGCTGCCAAGTTAATTTAAATGCTGATTAAATGCTGCTGCTTAAGTCAAGGAAATGTTTTCATGGCATCTTTTGCTAACGAGTACTAGTTGTAGATCTTGATAGAAAATTTATATGTGAAAACCTTAGTTAAAGAAAACCTCCTTCTGCAGTGTTTTTCTATAATTTATTTATTTTCAGAAACAGTTTATGATTAATAGCTGACATTATCAATGATAAAAAAACTCAGTTATAACTAGTCTAGCTCTAATTCCCACATAATTTGATAAACAAGCATGACTATTGTTTATTAAAGAGGACTGCCTATTCCCAGGCATTAAATGAGGTAACTATACTACAAAACCTCGTTCATGCTTACACATATTAATATCAAGAGCTAATTAAACACCCACAGGTATTTATTAGCTCTT